AGGGGGATCTTTGGTGTCAGTCCTAATTGTTTATGTGGATTATATTGTTGTCACGGGGAATGACCTAAGTGAGATTGATTGTCTGAAAATGAATCTACATAAAGAATTTGAAACTAAGGATCTTGGAGAACTGAGATACTTCATAGGCATTGAAGTTGCRAGATCAAAACATGRAATTTTTATCTCTCAAAGGAAGTATGTCTTGGATCTTCTTCAAGAGACAGGGAAGCTTGTAATGAAGACAATCAATACCCTATTGATTAGAACCATAGAATCAATGCATCAAAAGGTGAACTAGTAAAGGACATTGGGAGATATCAGAGACTTGTTGGTCGATTGCTATACTTGTGTATGACAAGAATAGACATTTCCTATGCAATAAGTGTGGTAAGTCAATACATGCATGCTCCACGAGTCTAGCATTGGGAGGCAGTCGATAGGATTCTTGCTTATCTGAAGGGACACCCGGGCAGAGGCATATTGTTTACTGATCATGGATAGTTGAAACTAGAGGCTTATACAGATGCAGATTGGGCAGGATGCCTTGATGACAGGAGATCAATTTCAGGAGTGCACCCTTGTTGGGGGTAACCTTGTCTCGTGGAAGAGTAAGAAATAAACATTGGTGGCAAGATCAAGTGTTGAAGCTAAATATAGGGCCATGACACATGGAGTTTCAGAACTTCTCTGGATCCGTTCCCTATTAGAAGAAATTGGTGTACAGGCAGAAGAACCTATGATGTTATACTGTGATAACCAGGCAACAATTAACATTGCCCATAACTCAGTCCAGCATGACCAAACTAAGCACATTGAAGTGGATAGACATATTATCAGAGAAAGTAATTTCTGGAGAAGTTTGTCTTCCATACATTGCTTTTGATCTGCAACTCGCGGATGTTCTCACAAAAGGTGTTGCGAAGAACAAGTTGGAGCATGATCTACGCAAGTTGGGAGTGTGTGACATTTACTCCCAACTTGAGGGGGAGTGTTGAGTTGGGCCTAGTTTTTTTTTTTTTTATTCTTATTTTAAGCTATTTAGTTAGGAAGTTGTTGGGCTTTAGGCCCATTAGTTTATGTTTTTAAGTTGTGACTGTTCAGCTATATTAGTAGCCGCCCTACTAAGGGCATCCTTGTAATATCTCATCCTTTAAGTTAAGTATAAATATAATGAGGGGTTGGCAGCTAGGGTTAATTCAAGAATCCTGGTTGACTTCCTACTCTCTTATCCCTCTCTTTTCTTCTCTACTACTGAAATCTTTATCTTCCTCTCCTTTCCTTTCACAAGAAATTCAACTAAATCTACAATCAGTGATTTCTACTACCACCTTTTCCCATTTCACCAGGTGGTCCTTTTTACTATCTCCTGGTTCCCATAGAAAGTCTCTCATTAGCTTTTTCCACCCTTTACACAACTACTTGAGGCATCCTAGAGACAAACATGAAATAGTTAGGGAGGTTGGCCAATGTTGATTTTATCAAAGTGATTCTCCCTCTTGGAGAAATGTACTTCCTTTTCCACCTAGCTAATCTTTTCTAAGTCTCTCAACAACTGGAGTCCAGAAGCTTATAGACCTTGAATTGCCACCGAGGGGTAAGCCTGAATAATTCAAAGGCCAGACCCCTTCTTCACACCCAAGTATCTCCGCAAATGAGTTAAGCTCCTCTTCCCCAACATTTAAACCAACCACTCCACTCTTATTCCAATTGATCTTTAGGTTAGACATTAGCTTCAGATTTTCCACTCCATTCTTAACTTCCCCATCACAGAAAATCAAAATGTCATCTGCAAACTAGAGGTGTGAGACCATCACTCTATCTCTACCCACTTCCATCCTTTAATAAACTGCAATTGGTTGGCTATAGTAATCAGCTTACTTAGAACTTCAGCCACCAAGATGAAGAGGAAGGTGGAAGGGGATCTCCTTGTCTAAGCTCTTTAATTGCTTAAAAAAAAATCCACCACCGACCCATTCATAATCACCGAGAGTTTTGCAGGCAACCTTTAATCCACTTGCACCACAAAACCCCAAAACCACAAGATGATTTCTATCTCTTTGTTATTTCAAACTCAATTCAGCTTTAACCCCAAATATTTGGGGTCGGCTACATGAATAGTATCCCACTATTATACTTCATCAAGAGCCATATTTTCTGGACATGTTTCTTGATTCCCAACATTCTGTCCTATATAACAATGCTGCTCATATATGTATTATGAGAGTTCCTTTCAGTCTCATTGGTATGCATGGATCACATAGCACGCAAGATGCACCTCTCAACTTCCCTTCTCTAATTCTAAGGTTAACATCCTCTTCAGTTTCTCCCCAATTATTGATGATTTGATCCAATGTACTAGAAGTGGTCAGTTTGGGGTATCTCTTGTTCATCAATATTGTTGCATAACCACTCTCATTGCCATCTTTACTAAAACTGTAGTACATCTATTCTGTTTTAGTCTGACTTATCTTGAAACTTTTTTATTCTTTTTTTATTTTGATCAATAACACCAGCTTCATTAAATTAAGAGAAAAGAGGGAGTATGTATACAAGAGGGGAGATAAAATATCTTAGCTCCCCAAATACAGAATACAAAGAGAATACAGAGAGAAAAAAATTAAAAACTAGCCCAAAATACAGATTCCCTATTCACCCCTTGCTTGGCCAACCCATCCGCAAATGAGTTGGCACTCCTCTTCGCCCAGCTATATTGGATCTCAATGTCCCTACACATCCATAAGAACTGTTTCTTTTCATTGTTAAAGTTCCACAAACCACTGTCATCTTTCTTCAACCAGTTAACCACCACCTTCGAATCACCTTCCAGGATCAATTGGATGACATTTAATTCATTTGCTCTTCGAATTCCTTCAAGCGCTGCAAGGATCTCAGCCCTAAGAGAGTCACCTTCTCCAATAGGGCCAGAAAATAGAACAATAACAACCCCTTCCTCATTCCTGAAAACTCCTCCAATCCCAGAGGGTCCTGGATTCCTTACACTGTTGCCATCAAAGTTCAACTTAATGAAACCCGAGGGGGGAGGGGACCAAGAGGGACAAAGAGTCCTCTTACATCTAGTAGTGGAAGTAGTTTCTTTCCAGTTTCTTAGCAAGTCATCCACAGGAAAGTCTGAAAACAACTCCAAAGATTTCAGCCAGTGGGCAGCCTTTAAAGGGATTAGGTCTAACAGTTCTTCCAGGGTTCTTTCCTTGTCTAAAAAAATACGTGAATTTCTTTTTTTCCACAATGACCAGCACACTGCTGCCTAATACTCCTCCACATAGTCTTCCCTCGCTTCTTAGTCCATCTGAAAAAAGGAAAGAACAACCTTTGGACACTCTCCGGAGGAAACCAAGAACAGCCAAAGCGGGAGAAAACCCACTCCCAAACAGTTTTAGCAACCTTACAAGAGACCATGAGGTTGTAGCCGGACTCCCCATCGGCTTTACAAAGACTGCATCTATTAGGAAGTAGACAATAGTTGGAGTAGAAATCACTGATTGCAGATTTAGTCGAATTTCTTGTGAAGGGAAAGAGGAGGAAGATAAAGATTTCGGCAGTAGAGAAGAAAAGAGAAGGAGAAAAGAGTAGGAAGTCAACTAGGATTCTAAGAGACATCACTTTAGCAATAATTTTGTACAAGCTAGTAACCCATCCAATGAAACTTTTTTATTCTTAATCATCTCTCTATTGTTCTAGCCTGGTATTCTGCACATATTTCTTTAGTCTTATAAATCAGTACTATATCATTCACCATGCAATGTCCTTGTATAAATATCTAGTTGGTTCACCCATTATTAATGCCAAAATATGTGGTCTTAGTTCTGACTCTTGGGGTAAACCCGTCCAATGATTTAAAAGGCATGCCTCAGGTGTGCCTAGGTGCACAAGTGAGGCACATTTTAGTGTATGTGCCTTGTCTAGGTCCCAAGTGCAGCACTTTCGAAAGGCACATGCCTGGTGTGCCTTGCTCTACAGCCCACAGGGGCACCTTTTGAAAGTTTGCACATGTTTTTTCTGTTTTTTTATGCCTAGCAGCTGGGCCAGGGGCTCTGCCCCCAGACCCCCAACCAAGCCCCTCGGGGCAAGCCTGAACAAGTCCATTTAGGGGTTTAAATTCTTAATCCCTATGAAAAAGATTTTACAATTTTAATTGTCTTTTAAAAATATCTTTTATTAGGATAAATGAATGAACAACATTAGCAAATAAGGGGGTTCTCTCCACTCCGGTTTACTCACTCATAGAAGCTATGAAAATTCCCTATTTGCTAATGTTGCTCATTCATTCATCCTAATAAAAGATATTTTTAAAAGACAATTAAAATTGTAATTTTTTTTAGGGATTAAGAATGCTTAATGTTTAACATCACATTAGCTATTTGAAATAAGGCAATTGGAGAAAAAATAAAGAGATCGAGAGTTTTACATGCTTGAATATGTTTTCTATGTTATCCTTGATTTCATTTTTAAAATTTGATTTTAAATATGCTTTACATGTTCTGTTTATGTATTTTAATTTTAGATAGTAAGTTTTTTAAAGCATTTATTTTAAAAGTTAAGTTTATATTTTTAATCAATGTTATGTTTAATATTTTTAATTTTTTTTTGCACTGCTTTTTGATTTTTTGCGCCTTGTTTCGAAAATACGCACACCTTGCACCTCAGGTGCAAAAGGCCCAATAATGAATATTTTGCACCTTGTGCTTTTAAAACACTGAACTCGTAATAATTGAAAACCCTCCTGTCTTCCGTTCTGAGTTCTTACACTGGTTACTGCTCCCTCATGCATTTTAGTCTATTTATTGGCTAGGTTCATATATATTATGTTGTACCGCTTCATTTATTAAGATTCTCTAATGATGCAATGATGTAGTTAGCCTAAACTTGTGATGCAGAAACATAGGCAGCTGATGTATTTATCAAAACTTTGTCTTAATTGGCTGATAATGGGTGTAGATATTCTAATTGAAAAAGGAGAGATTAAGGCTGAGGAAATCTGGGACATATACAACAAAGCTCCTCGAATACCTCAGGTACTTATTTTTTCTCTTTTGTTTTTTTTGTTGATATCAACATTATACGGAAAAATGTAATTAGAGTACAAGGATGTGAAGGCCATTGAGTTATGGGAGCCTGCGAGCTTTCCCAGTGAAGTCTTGGAGTTGGTTTTATGATCTGTGTATTCACATGTAAATCCCTCTTTTCTTCTTTTAGTTGATATAATTCTCAGCTTTCCTCTTCCAAAAAGAGAAAAAAAAGAAAGATGTGAGGGCCATCAACCATTCCCCAAGTGTAGAATGAGAAGTAGCCCTGCTGCTATTCTCTGTCAACTAACAAATCAACCCCAAATGACAACCATTCAGCTACCACCAATCTGGGGTGTATGATCTCCATACCTTAGTTACTGTTAGACCTGGTACCAAAATAATTTCTTCTGCATCAGTGTGCTGTATGGAATACATATTTTCCATTGGTTTTTGAAAAGCATGGTAGGAAGTCCCAGGATGGTGGAATTTTTCATGAATGGCAGTGTTTAGACTTTTTTTTGACCTTTTATTTTCGTCATATATGTTGATTGTTGATGCATAAATTTGCAACTCCTGATGCTGGTTTTCCTATGGCTTTGAGGAAAGGAGAATGTCATTTTCTTGTCTGCAATGTTTGACAAATTCTTGTAGTGGAAAATGAAAATACAATAATACTTACTGGACAATCCTTCCGTTAAAAGTATCTTTGTTAAGTGGAATTCTACTTTTATGTTCTGAATAGTTTCCTGGCTTAAATACATGGTTTGTTAAACATTCTGATACATGCGTTTCCTGATAAGTAAAGGGATTACTAAAGGTAATCAGGTGAAATAGTTTAATTTTTGCTTGACAAACTTTTAGTGGAGGGAGCTGGTAAAAAGGAGTTTTGATCCCAGGTCAGTGGGAACTACATCTTCTAGCTTTACGAGCTGGTATCAGGTGAAATAATTGTAAAATAGTAAGATAACTATATTCACTTATTTATGGCTAGAAGTATTTTTTCTTGTCACTTGATGCTGCTTTTAAATTGACTTGAGCATCAGAATGTTGCTTGAGACTTGTTTGAGACACAAGTCCACCTCATTGGTATGTTCACTTGAGAATTAGAGGCCTTGGACCTATCTTTCTGATATTTTAACATTGCAACTATTGCAGCCTCCTGTGCGTCCTGTTGATGAGTACGGAGCACTCATTTATGCTGGGCGATGGGGAATTCATGGGAATTCACTTCCTGGAAGGGTCACTTTTGCACCAGGAAATGTTGGATTTTCCACCTTTGGTGCACCACGGCCACTGGAGGTAAGTATAGTTAATTTTGATATACTTTGTCATGGTCAAGGTTCAAAATATTGATGCGCCCGAGACGCCAGTCAATAGCTTTTTTTTTTTCAAATTCGGTTCAGAGGGGCCGGTTTAAGGTCTGGTCCGTCCACCCCCTGAACCAGTTGAAATCCCAAAACACCACTGGAGGGGCGTATCAGGAAGCCCCCGATACAATACGTATCGGCTGATACGGCCCGACACATATCGAAAATTTGAACCTTGGTCATGGTATTTCTCTTTGATGTGCTTTCAATCTTATGCCTACTTTTTTCTGTTCTTATCTGCAGACGCAAATCATTAGTGATGAGACTTGGAAACTTATAGATGGAATTTGGGATAAAAGGATTGAAGAAATTAAGAAGGATGCTACTATGGAGATTGAGGAAGACAGAGAGAAACCACAACTTTTAATGGCTGATCACTTCCTTTGAAAATTCAGTCAACTTTTTTTTGGTATGTTAATCCAATATTGTTCCATATCCTCCATGCAAGGTTTTCTTATTTTCAGGGCAAAATCCGAGTGTATTCTATTATAGTGTTTTACCACCTGTCCTTGAATTTCCTTTCTATTCACCACTTCATTTAATCTAAAGGCCATTGTTACCCAATCCCAATGTTGGTTGCAGCTGTCTGAGGCCTAGGGGGGGGGGGGGGGAACCGGATGATACAGACCTAACCTTTGCCATCTATTTTGCACAAGTGGTCTCTATCCATGGCTAAGGGATACTACTATTGCAGGCCCCTATACAATTTGACATGGTTGTTGCAGATTATGAATCAGAATCCAAGACGGTTAATATCAAAGGATCAAATCTGATGCCAAATATGGGTGCTGCAGATTGGGTTCTGTGGTCATTTTTTCACATAATGCTTACATTCATTCCTTGTGCTTCTGCAACCTGATCCTTTACAATGAGAATTTTACATCTTCCATTCAACAAGCTGATACAGAGCTCCTGATCAATACTCCTGAAGCTAGCCATTAACAAACCACGAATTGAGTTGAACATAATGTGAAAGCAAAGTGGTTTTCCCTTTACCAATTTAATGGCCACTGCTTCCCATGAAATTATGTATATGTATTATTCACGAATTTGGTGTCGGCAACGATTTTTTTTTTTGTCTCCTGAACATGACCAAAAAGCATAGTGTTGCAGCTTGGTGGAGCCTCTGCATGTTTGTAACCCATCTTTAATTAACATCCACTACAATGTTTTTAATAATGAATACTTGTAATATCGCACACAGGACAATTTTGAAGATTTCATGTTTTAGTTAGATGTTAGTAGAGAGCTTCAGTAATATAGTAATATTTAGCAAATTCACCTCATTAGGGGAGTCATTTATGTTTCTACCAAGGCTAAGCAGTCAAGTAAATGTCTATGGGAAAATTATGTGCAACAGCATCAGTTGTTTAAATTTATTGTATGACCTTTATACTTTGTAAAGTAATTAAACATTTGACAGGCACATAATTCAATAGGAACTCTTAAAAATGCAAAAGTAGCTGCTAGTAACGCCATTTTTGCACATAGCAGCAGGAAAAAAAAACCATTTTTGCACATAACTTGTGTGAATAAAATATGCTTTTATGGGATTCCATTTTATAATTTGCAGAATTAAGACTGTGATTGCACTGGATATGTTGAAGAGATATGAGATTCAGAAATAGCCTGTAGCGTGAAGGAAGTATGGAAGCTTGCTTGTAGTTGGCTTGACCATCACCTGGTTTATATCTTTTCTTACATGAAAATGGCCTTACCATATATTTGATGTGACTAACCAACATTTGCAATAACCAGGTTTATTTCAAAATCAAAGCTCAAAAACAGAGGTATTCATCAGAAAAACAGAGGCTCTATCTTCTGAGCTCCTGGTGCAAGATTAGTTGATTGCCTGATAGACTGACTATGTTCAAAATATTGATACAACATGCCTGATTCATGTGTAGCAAAGGTAGAATATTGGAGTATCTGTTCAATTCTACCCGTGCTGCACGGTATCTGGTGGTATCAAATTGTATAGGAATAGGACTATAGCGGTTGATGGTATTGATCAACATTGGCAGGATACAATTTATCTCCATTCAATATCAGTTAGGAAATTAAAACAAATGGCTTCAAAATAAAGAAAAGTAAAATACCACAAGGAGAAAAAAATTAATTGATCAATACAATAAGAATATTGACAAAGATTTATCCCACCCTGAATGTTGGGGATTGTGTAAACTTCTCCTATATCATTTTATGAGACCATTTTGCGAAAAATTGATAAAATCAGAAAATACAACAAAAAGCAGAAAATAAAAACTTGGAAATTGTAGAAAACATAGGAAATACAACAAAAAATGAAGAAAAAGAGAAAAATACAACAAAACACAGAAAAAACGTAATATTATTGAAAATACAACAAAGTAATAGAAAAAGTACAAAATAAAAGAAAAAACTTTGAATTAGCATTTTACCATCAGCTTGTTACAGGGGCAAAATGCTTCTAAAAGTTCAGAGCGGGTCTGTCGTATATGAGAATTATGGAGGCTAAATGGCTAATGTTCACTACCCTCAAAGTGCAGTGTGACAATTTGTAATTTAACCTAAATTTGGTTTCCCTAGTGGTGAGTGCCGTGGTGATCACGGGTCTGCTACCCACATACTACGTGGCGTCGTAGCCGCATATCAAGAATATGTTTCGTACTTTATGTTGTCACGGAAGAAAATAGGTTTTTGGCTCGATTAACCCTTGAATTTTGCCAAAATGCCGATTTTAATCTTAAAGAATAAAAAAGGTTATTTTCAACCCTAGGCTTTGGTGAAAAGGCCATTTGTAGGGAAAAACAGATGACATTTGAAATGGAGCCAATGGATCCGTTAGACAATGTTACGTGGCACCACTAAAGTTTGAAAAAGATCATTTTTGACCTTAAAGTTTGAAAATAAGACACTTTAATAAAGTTAATTAAGTAAATTATTTTAGGGTCTAATTAAATGACCATAAAGTATAATTACGTATTTAGTTTACTTGATTAACCAATAAAGTTAATTACTTAAATAACCTTAAAGTATTTAATTAAGTTAATTAAATAAACTACACTAATTAAGTAAACTAAGTAATTAGATAAGTAAATTAAATTAATTAAGGAAACACAGTTAATTAATTAAATTAAATAAATAAAAAATAAGCGAATTAAGATGTGTGGGAATAGGGACCTCATTGGTTTGCATGTATTCTAAATGCCGCGGTATAGTTGATTCGCACAGGGTATTTGGCGAAATGCCCGATAGGAATGTGGTAACATGGAATGCAATGATAGGAGATTAGGAGGGTATTCAACGAATGGTGACAAGGGTTCTGCATCATTTATTTTTGAACGGATTCCAGAGAAGATGGAAGTTACATGGGCAGAGATGATTGATGGGTTTGCAAGGAATGGGGATATTGTTGCTGCTAGGCGTCTGTTCAACTGCTCTCCACATGAGATGAGGAATGTGGTGACATGAAATGTGATGATTGATGGATATGTGAGGATTGTGGGCAGATGGAGATGGCGAGGCTGCTATTTGAGGAGATGCCACAGCGGAATTGCTATTCTTACTCGCAATGATTGCTGGCTACTACTGCAAGAAGGGTAACGTCAAGGAGGCGAGAGAGATCTTTGATCGCATTCCAGTCAAGAATTTGTTGAACTGGAATTCATAGATTGCTGGATATGCATAGAATGGATATTGCGAAGAAGCTCTAGAGGCCGAGAAGGATTTGATCTTTGATCGCATTCCAGGCCGAGAAGGATTTGAGCCTGATGAAGTTACAACAGCAAGTGCATTATCGACTTGTGCACATTTGATTTGGGTTCTTTGGATTATGGTAAAAAAATCCATAATGTTATAAATTGTAGCAATATCAAAAAATCCATAATACGGTTTGTTTTTAATGCGTTGGTTGACATGTAAGCAAAACGCGGGGATTTGCGTAATGCAAGAATAATTTTTGAAAGGATGCCCCAGAGAAATGATGTTTGTTGGAATGCAATGCATCTCAGGCCTTGTCATTCATGGTTGGAGTGAAGAGGCTCTTGAGCTTTTTGGCCGTATGGAGGAGTCAAGCGAGAAGCCCAATGAGTTCACAATTCTCTCTGTTCTTTTTGCTTGTGCACATGGAGGATTCATGAAAAAAGGATTAGAAATCTTTTCCAAAATGGAGGAGGAATGTGGTTTAGTTGCAGGCATTGAGAATTACGGTTGTTTGGCTGACCTTTTAGGATGGGCAGGAAGATGGGCTTCATTTGGCATTCCTTATTTTAAGGACTTATCTCCTTTTACTGTTAAAATGCTCCTATGAATACTGAGTTTTTAATAACTGCAAAAATGAGATAAGACCTTAAAATAAGGAATGCCAAATGCAGCATAATGAGGCATATAATTTGATCAAGAGTATACCTATGAAACCCAATGGTGTGCTCTGGGGGGGCTTTGCTTGGAGCTTGTAGGATTGTTCATTTCGATACTGTTGGAAGAATGGGGTCACCGTAACTTTGGAGGAAGCTCTGAGGCGCGTCTGAAGATACTATCTTTAGAACGTTATTTGCCCCCATTCAATTTCACTGAGTTTGCTGTTGGGTTACAGGCAAATCCGTTCTTAGGATACAACAGAGCTTTGGGTGAGAAACTGCAACCAGCAAAGTTGAAGAATCTTTAGAGAAACCTTATGTGAAATTGTAGCAAATCGGACTGAGAGAGAGAGTGAATTTCAAAAATGTATGTTTTTGGAGTCTGATTCATGCTCCTTAAATAGTTTATGAAGAAGTATAAAGAAAAAGTAGGTGCTGGTTCAGAGAAGGCACCTTGAATAGTCACAATTTCAAACATTGTGACTGTTTAAAAAGTAGTTAACAGTTAATGACTGTTAACTTTGAATTGTGTCTCTTAATCACACCCGATCGAATCGTGACCGTTGATCTCATCAATAGTGATCAACGGTCAGCATCGCACCAAAATCAAAGCTGCCCTTCACGAGTCACGCGGGTGTGAGCAAAGTGCGCTTCTAAAGTATCTCATTACACCACACACACTCGCACACACACATACACGCATGTGCACGATATCAAACCCCCATACTCTCCTCTACTATTTCTAAGGAGTGTAAATCAACTTCTATTAAAATACTGAAAACAAAGCTTATAATTTTCCAATGTGGGACAAGTTCAAAATTAGGCTTTGTAAGAGAAAAACTAATTTTTCAATCAAGTGTGTAGGTGCAATTTCTCATGTAATTGACCAATCAAACCCATTGGATTTAATCTCTTATGAGATTAAAATCCAATAGATACAAAGATGGTAGAGCGGGTGGCGAAAGAGATTGGATTTTCTAAGTTTGTCAGGTTATGATGCATACACTGTGTTGTTTCAATTATTTATAACTAAGAGAGGATCCTTCATCATTTTCTTACAATGCTGCTTCAATTATTTGTCAATTCTTCATGTGAGCTTCTTCTGAAGGGCTGGCTGACCCAGCAAGAACTTCAAAAAGATGTTCTTGTACACCTGTAAATTCATTCTGTGTATCAAATTCTGTAAATTTTTCAGTATGGAAAGAAACAAGTATTTCATACACCATATTTTTCTACAAAGAATTTTTATAATTTCCACTCATGAGTTTAGACAACACGGAAGGATTCAGCAATCCGTTTCAAATCCTTATAATGCCTCTTCCACTGAAGACCTGCAAGAATACATATAAATAAAATATTTTCAGCACATTGCCATAGCTAATGGTTTTCATTTTCATGTGGAAAGAAATGTTGCAGAAGGATAAACAATTATACCATTGGCAGTCACACTGAACAAGTACAGCCGATTGCCGGCGGCAGTTGCAGTGATGAGAGCATGAGGTGGCTCCAACTCATATTGGTAGTATGTCCTCCCGGAGTGTTCTGCTACTTCCATAGTTAAAACTTTGCCTTCAACATTTTCCCCGATCACTTCTGGTCCAAATGCATTGATCACTTTTTCAGGTGGGCCAATTTGTTCAATTGTAGCATCTCCACCAAGGTCTGTACCAGAGACAGTCCCAAGAATATCATCAACACAAACTAGCAATGAATGGAACGAAGTTCTTGAAAAGATTAGTTGGAAAAATTAACTTGACTATGATCAAGCTGAACAGATTCTTCAAGCTCTTAACAAACTTGTTAACTATGCAAACCATGGAAGTACCTGAACAGGCATCTTTTAATTTTCAGCAAAAAAAAAAGGGAAAATCTTGAACTCATTACCTGCAAATCTGAGAACAGGTGCAACAATGACGAACAAGCGCCCTTCCTGAGTGCTAGCAAATCTCAAATCAATTTCCGTGCCACCAAGATCTGCAATTGAAACAGGAACCTGCAGTTCATAGCAGTTTTGCTACATCAGAGACATCAAGCAAGATCTGTCTCTTCAGGAATTTAAAGGAGGATAACTCAGTCCAATCTAATGGTTTTGAGTATTAGTTCTAAAGATAAGTTTTGAGTCTTCTGTCCAATGAAGCAGTTAATTACCTCTTCCCAGTCTTTTGGGACCGAAAATGCATATGGGATTATTGGACTCCATCCGACACCATGCCCTCCAGACTTTTCATCTGGTCTGCGATATGTCCTCCAACCTGTCTGAGCAATTTCATTTCATATGAAAAATGGTCTAATGCTTTGGAAAATAGAGGAAACAATGTCTTACAAAGAATAGAAAGAAAAAACACAAATGAATTATTTCTTGTAGCCTTTCATCAAGGCAAGTTTATGGCAATAGCTTGGACTTGGATACAAAAAGGAGCAGATTTTCAATTCGTATGGACAAGATACAAATTTCTGTACATGGTTCTTAGGTAGCTCGATTCCTTAGTTTTACTTAAATTATTTGGGTTAAAACTGAGAATCTGAAGACTGGAACTCTGTATTCGTGTTAATATTCATGGCATAGCAGGTGCTAATTTGATAAAGAGCACATTGAGCTCCCTTTTTCTCTCCTCCCTTGTTTTTTATGTTCATTCCCTCAAATTGATCGGTATACTACAACTGCAGCTGCTGTCGGAATCATTTTTTTCCTTCTTTTTACATAACAACCAGAGATTAGCTTCTGTGACTTTTCTATCTATTTATCACAATATTCCATTTTGATATTAGATTCGGACAACCCAAGAAGAGAAAGAGATGAAATTAAAACAAAAAAAGGGAAGCAATTAACTTGAAAAACTAACCTTGTTCATCAGGCTCAGATAATCCAGGGATCCTTCCAGCAAGAAGGTTCTGTTTCACCACTGCTAACCCCTCTCTTGGAAAACCCAAAACTGCAGCCGAAACCAATGAGACCCCAGAAACCATAGCCCACCTTCTTGTCAGAAACCTGGACAGTTTATCAGTATCATCATCATCAAAGCCATTTTCTCTTGAACCTCTGGTAGCTTTTGTTGTTGAGCACCTTTTCTCTAGTGAAGATTGAACAGAAACATGGTGAGACAGAATCTGTCTAGATTGTAGAAATTGGTAAGCCTGGTTGCGACTCCCCAAGGAAAACCAGCAGTTCATAAACAGGGTTGTGCCCATTTCTTAGAATCTATTTCTGCTGTACTAGAATTTTAGAGAATTCGATAACAGATACTACAGCAAAATTGGGTTTTCTATTTCGTTTTAGAAAATCGAGAGCAGAAGTTAATGGCGAAGAAGTAGCTCTGTCTCCAGGATGGTTTGGAATGGTGTAGGGTGTAGCCGTGTGGAATGGAGGTCCCGGAGGATGATCTGTCGATGATGATTCTATGCTTGTGGACGAGGTGCCCACTGCCTGTACCACAGATGAGATAGCAATCTAAGATATGAAATCTGACCACAAATTCTGACTGCAGCTATGGGCCCGGACTGTTCAATCCTGGCATGTGATCCACATATTTCTCTAATTCTCTTTGTGGGAAATGGTGATTCTCAGGTTTTATTAGCGGGCTGTGGAAAAAAGGTTTATTGGTGGCGCACAAGTTCACAACGATTTGGACCCTAATGTTTTTGGGCACACAAAACTTGTTTACAATTGCCACGTGTCCTCTATGAAATGGGAATGAGTTTTCTTCGGCTAATCATCTATAATATCTATGCGAATGGCGAGGTGCTGGCTTCTAGAAATTTTATTGGACAGCTTTAGCCCTATATTTTAAGAAGGCTTTAGAGGCATACATGTAACTATAATTTGATAAAATATTATACACTAATTGACACAATTAAAGAATGAATATAACTGGCTTTCCGTTTTGCCCCAAAACAGTCAATTAATAAATATAACTGACGTTACTTTCTTCTTTATAACTGATATGATCAATTGAGACTGGTTGTTTAGCATATGAAACCTATGAAGAAATACTTAATTCCCCATTGCAATACACATGGAACATAGTTTTGAATTTTGGGTTTCCAAGTGCGTATTTGTATCAACTGGAAATAATAACAAGTGGATATTGAACAGTTTTGGATGCTTTCGAGTCTAAGCCTTTCATAAACGATTGTGGAAATGGGTCATGGGGACAGTTGGTTTACTTATTCTCCTCAGATGATCGACTCCTATAGTCAATGTGATGGAACAAGATACAAGTCATCATCCTCTGAATTTCCATGAAATTGAATCGTCTAGCTTCGAGTTTTCAGATGAAATTTTATGCATTACTGCAAACAATGAATTTTATAGGAAAGTTGGCTTCAACAAGAGGGGTTTGAAGGAAAAAGTAATAAGAGCGGAAGAGAGGTAACACTGAGTTGTTAACCCTTTTCATCATGGCTTGTTTGAGTAGTGATGGCCAATATTTTTAACTCATCTTTGACTAACCGATTAAACTGCTCAAATCGTCATCTAATCAAGATTCAAGGTCCGGTTTGAGTAAAACCTGAAGAGAGGTTAAAAATCATTGATTTGATAAAAAACCATCCAATCCAGACGGTTGGACAATGGACACACTCAACCCAATACGGGTTGCATACTAACCATGTAAGCAAACTTTGGGAGGCCTAACTCTGCATTTGGATGTCCGATTGTTGTGATTTTTTTTTATTTATTTTGGTAACTTTTTAATATCCATGCATCCCAATGTTCAATATCCCATTATTTTTGCCAAATCCCCTTTTTTTGTCTCAAATTGCAATTTTTAATACTTTTTATGAATAAAAATTTAAAACTAAATAAAACATAAATTAGACATGCTATTTTTGTGCCATTCAGTCTTTCAGGAACACTTCGAGTTTCAAGCATGCTTTATCTAACATCTCAACTGACCTAGGGACATTCTTAGAATTTTACAAAAGTTAGAGCCTCATAAATCCAAGACCATAAGTATGTAGAGCCAAAAAATACAAATCCCAAGACACCACGATCACTCCAATCCAACACTATTTACCCTTTCATTCTAAGACCCAAAGTCGGAACTGATTTTGATCGTCTGATTAGAGTCATTTTGATCATAAACCTCATTTCATGTCAAATTAGAAATCTAAAACCATAGGTACGTAGATCCCATAAATCCAAATCCAACGACACAAAGATCACCCTAATCTGACACTGTTTACCCCTTCATCCTAAGACCCGAATTCGAAATTGATTTTGATCATCCAATCAAGATCATTTTGATATTGAACCTCAACTCATGTCAAATCAGAAATCTGACATAGAGCCTAAAAATCCCAAACCAACGACACCTAGATCAATGAAATCCAACACCATTTACCTCCATCTTACGACCTGAAGCTAGAGTCGATTCCGATTGTCCGATTAGAGTCATTTTTATCCTAAACATCATTTCACGTCAAATCAGAAATAAAAACCATAGGTACGTAAATCCAAAAAATCCAAATCCAATGACACCAAGATCACCCGAATCCGATACTGTTTACCCCTTCATCCTAAGACTCGAAGCCAAAATCGATTCCAATCATCCGATTGGAGTCATTTTGATCTTGAACCTCATTTCATGTCAAATCATAAATCTAAGACCATAGGTACATGGAGCCCAAAAATACAAATCCAATGCCACCAAGATACCATAATCCAACACCAATTATCCCTTCATCTTAAGACCCGAAGCCTTAACCGATTTCAATTGTTCGATAAGAGTTATTTTGATCTTGAACATCATTTCACATCAAATGATAAATCTAAAACCATAGCTATGTAGTGTCCAAAAAATCCAAATCTGACACTTTATCCCTTTGTCTTAAGACTTGAAACCAAAACTGATTCTGGTCATCCGATCAGGATCATTTTGATCCTAAACCCCAGATCGGGATCATCAGATTTGGCATCTTAGGTATATAGAGCCCAAAAATCCAAACCCAACAACACCCTGATCACTGAAAACCAACACCCTTTACCTCTTCATCTTAAGACCCGAAGCAGAGTCGATTCCAATCATTTGATCACAGTCAAATATATATATATATATATATATATATATATATATAAGTCAAAAAAATGTTATTTTACATATTCATTTAATGTTTTTATACTATTATTAAAAGTGTGAATAATGGTGTGGAACTTTTTACTAGAATGCCCTTATTTTTTAATTTAATTTCTCTCTAATTGTGAGGGTACAAAATGTAATTTGAACTACACTAAATTTCTTCTCATTCAATTACCTTTGATTAAATTGTATTATTAACTCCCATTCCTTTATTGAATCCTATATTTAAGATATTGTTTTCACAAAATAAAAATATAAATTTTATCAATTAGATCTACATCCAATGCTTTTAACGATATAAATACATGTTTTTTAAATTTACACAAAAAATGGAACTATTTTTCCATCGTGGTGGTGAGTAAGCAATTCAACCATCTAAGTAAAGTAGGCTAATCCATGATGTCATAATTAAATAAAAACTTTTAAAATATAGACAAATAACAAATGTAGAAAAATTGGACACACACACATGTGTGTGTGTATGTATATATATGTATGCATATATTATTCATATTGAAACAAAAATAAGTATGACAAATAATAATTATTTTTATTCATGTTGGAAAGCAATCCAAAGGTAAAAATTATTCTTGTGGTGGTGAGTCAACAATTCAATGTTTTTAATTAAATATGCCAACCTTTAATATCATAATTAAATAAAAATGGAAAAATATAAAAAACACAAAATCATTATGTAATGATGCAAAATTTTGTAAATAACATTTAGACACCTATCTAATATTTTATATTAATCATATTAAAAAAAACAAGTGTGATAAATAATAATTGTTTTATTGGTGTTGGAAATAAAATATAAAATTTAAAACCAACCTAAAAATGAAACTGTTTTCTTGGTGACAAGTTAACAATTCAACCTTTTGGATGATATGTGTCAATCATTGACTTCATAATTAAACAATAAAAATACAAAAAAAAGATAAAAATACAAAAAATATAAAAAAATAGAAACTCTATAGAAAAACATTTGGTCACATCTCTAATATTTCATATTAATCATATTAAAACTTAGATACGATAAATAATAATTGTTTTTAACTTTTTATTGATGATATAAATAAAATACTAAATTCAAAATTAATGAAAAAGTGAGATTGTTTTCCTATTTGATGGTAGATCCATACATCATTTTAGGTCAAATGTATCAACTTGTGAAGTTATAATAGATAATAAAGCTTTATTTTAAAAAGATAAAAACATAAAAGTATACAAAAAATATATAAATTATGTAAAAAACATCCAGGTATATTTCTATATTAATGAACTATAATAAGTGTGACAAATAAGAATAATTTTATAGACATAAAAATATAAAAAAATTGTAGAAAAATTTGAAATATACTATCATCATTATAAAATTTGTCACGTGCAAAGCATGTACACAAATACTAATATAGAGAATATGTATGAATATTTTTTCCTACCATCCAACGAATAAAATGATCCCACATCAAAGTTAGAGCAATACAACAAGGTTAGACTTTGAGTTTTGAAGGAACTCAGGGTTGTGTTTTCTTGATGTGAGGTAGAGCACCTTTGATGTGGGACCTGGGACTATCTCATTGGTGGAGATGAGGAAACACTCGTTCAGACAATCAGACGCATAAACTAAAATGATTTCAAAGAAAACTGGGATCAACACTAGGTAATATTAATAACGTATTGGATCTGCTGTGAATACAAGTCTGCAGATTTGGTTATATGACCAATATTCACTGAGTGAATACACTGGTGTAATTTATAAGTGTGGTCCAAATGTGTTACATGTCCATTTGGATGGAATATGGCGTATTCACTTGTGGTTGGTCACTTAACCAAAGTTTACACGCTTGTGTTTGCATTGGATTCAGATTTATGTAAACACTACTTATGGAATTCGGATCTGCTCCCAACATAATTTGTGTCCTCATATCTCACTATAAGATTGAGACTCACCAAAAGATGGAGACCCATCATGTCTAAGATGTGTGAAGTGTGAACACAGATAATGTTGGGACAAATTTTTGTTGGGAGCATATCCGATCTCTTACCAATCAGAGCTTGGATTAGCTACTCACAAAATTACTATCCACATGCACTCACAAGACACTACAGGCTACATCCGCACTGGGATCTTGTGGGTAGTAGATGTGAACTCTACCAATCGAAGTAAAAAAGGGGCAAATTTCTTAAACTTCCCTTATGGTTTAGTTAGTTGATTAAGTATACCCTTATTGTTTGGCTATTGTCTAATGCTACCCCTACCATTACCATCGTCGTTAAATATTGATGAAAGGGATGAAATCTCAATTTTACCCTTCCATTAAATCCCTTTGAAAACAATTCTCTCTCTCTCTCTCTCTGCCAACACA